TTGCCCGCGTTGAACCCCACCGAGCTGTGGCCTCCGGGTCTCAGCAGCCCCCAGCTGTGTCCGGCCACCACCACCACCACCACGTACTACACTTCGCTTTATACGCAGACGGTGCCTTCCGCTGCGGCGCTGGGCACCTGCCTCGACGCCACTCCCCACGGACCCGAGGGCCAGATTGTGCGATGTGTGCCCGCAGGCCGGCTGCCGGGGGAGCTGGGGACCCCCCGGTGCTTCCCATATGCTTGTTTGGGGTGGGGGAAGGAACGGGGGAGCCTGGGGCTCAGTTTGAGTACTGCTGGCTGAGGTGGGGAAGTGGGGCTAGCAGTGTAGAGAACCCCTTCGTTTTCTTACTGCGTGAAATAATCTCACCCACTATTACAGTGTGATGAGCACTGAAGTGGGAGCCTGGAGACCCAGCCCAATCCGGGTAGAGCCAGTGTGACCTTGAGAGAGTCCACAAGTCACAGACATTGCTATAATTCATTCATTCCTTCATTGTTTACACCAGAAACCAGCACCTGCTATTTCAGGTCAGGGGCTTGGCCTGTGGCATTTCCTGGTGACAGGAGGGTAGATCCCGTGGATCTCTGGTCCAGCCTGATGTGGACAAAGTGATCTAGCCAGCTCCTTTTCAAGTGGTGTTTGTCCTCAGGTCCTCCCCACAGCCTGGTCATCTTCTGAAATTGCCAGTAACAGATGCAAATGTAGTTAGTCTCTTGGAGTTCCTGTTCAGTTGGACTGTGTCCTCCTCAGTCCTGCAGATCTGTTGTCAAGGAGGCCTGGTGTGGTGGCTTTGGGCTGTAGCACAGGGTGTGTGCTGTGGGAGCAGAAGCAGCCATAGAGTGAAGGTGGGAAAGGAAAAGGCCTCAGGGAGTTGAGTTTCAGCCTCGGGATCATCACTGTATATTTGGATAAGTCAGGGCCTCTGTTTCCGCTTTTACATTTATGTGGGGGAGGGGGTTGTTTGTGGCACATTGTGTGTGCAGGTCAGAGGACAACTTTCAGAGTTGGGTTTTTTTTTTTTTTTACTACTTCCGAGTGGGTCCTGGGATCAAACTCAAGCTGCCCAGCTTGGTGGCAAGCTCTTCTACCCATTGAGCCATCTTGACAGCCCGAGTTTCCTCTTTTAGAAATGCACCTTCCTCTGTCACTTCCAGCTCAGGTTTTGGAAGCAGGGAGGGGAGATGGTATTTGTAGTGTATGGTAAGTCTAGGGACAGGGATAAGAGCATCCCGTGTCCCCCGGGCATTCTGGATGACCTATGCACCTGTCTGTCCTACCCTCCCAGGGTGAGCACAGGGGTTGGGAGCCACATGGCCAACTCTCTGGCTACAGGCAGAACCTCACTTTCTGCCTTTGGAGTCAAGCTGTGTTCCACCTTCCCAGATGCCTTTCCCCAGTAGTGTGGGAAGCGTCTCTGCTGTGTTGTCATCCCTGTTTTACAGGTCAGGATGATGAGGATAACTGTCTGTTGTCTTATCTGGTGTTCAGCATTTTCCAGCCTAATGCATTTGTGTAGCTTGTGAAGGAGACCGAACGAGAAGCTTTGTGTCACAGAGGTGGGAAACTGAGGGTCAGAGAGAGATGGGTCCAGTGACCTGACCCACAAGTCAGCTCTCTGAATGCAGCCTTGGAGCTAGGTGGCCCCCGGAAAGGGGACTCTGGCAGGCTAATGTCTCCTTTGACCACCTGCTTTTGGATGTAGACTGTCAGGAACAGCTGGGGTTTGGAAGTGCTTTGGGCCTTTCCTACCAACTCTGCATCTGTCTGTTCTACCCTCCCAGGGCGGGCTCAGGGATCTTAGCCAGAGCAGCCCTTGCATGCCAGGCACTGCTTGGCACTCTTCACCAGTGATCTTGGTTAAGATGCTCGGCACTATGCAGGTGAGGAAACTGAACAGAGGTGAAGTCACAAGCCAAGAAGTGGGGGTGTCCTTGCATCAGACTCCCTAAAGGCCTGCCAGGCCCAGAGCCCATCTCTGGTCCATCTCCAGATGCTGGGGCCCCAGTGCCCCATGGGCAGGCCTAACCCCCTGCTTACTCATTTTACAAGGGTGTGACCTGGAGCTGCTCCAAACCCAACCTTGGGTGTGGCCTTCTGCTTTGTGGCTGCAAAGTGTGGGGGTGAGCAAGATTTGTTGGGGAGCTGGCCTTTAAAGGGAGGATAACCAGGTTGAGTTGCAGAAGTAAGGCCAGGACTCAGGTCTCCTTGCTTCTGGGCCATTGTTCTTGCTAGTCTCTAGAAAAGATGGAGGAACATTCTTTGCAGAGTCTCACCACTGGCCAGGCTCATGACATTTTCTATTCGTTCTACAAGCTGGTTTCAGTGAGGACAATGGGGGCTCTTCATCTGTCTACACTGTCCCATTGCTGTCCTGGAACTCATTATGTAGACCAGGCTGGCTTCGAACTCACAGATCTTCCTGCTTCTGCCTCCTGAATGCTGGGATTAAAGGCGTCCTGGCTGTTGTTTTTGTTCTTGTTGTTGAGATAGGGTCTCACTATTTCCAATCTGCTCCTGGAAGCCTAGACTCAAATGATCCAGTTGAGCTAGGCATACATACACTTCTGTAGCCCTAGCACTGGGGAAACTGAGGCAGGAAAGTTGTTGAAAGTTCTAGATCCAGCTGGTCATGGTGGCTCAGGTCTTTAATTTCAGTACTCCAGAGGCAGAGGCAGAGGTGGATGGGTCTCTGTGAGTTTGAGGTCAGCTTGGTTTACATAGAGAGTTCTAGGAGAGGCAGGGTGAGACCTTGTCTCAAGATAAAAGAAATACTGCCTCAGCCTCTGCAATGGCTTAGGCTATAAGCTGAATGTACATATGTACATACATACATACATACATACATACATACATATTTTTAAACTCTACTGACACCAGGCCAGAAGATGACACACATAGGCTGGGGGATAGGGTGACTCCTCCCAGGCTGTCCTCTCATGAACCTTTGGAGCAGTCAGCAAAGTGATCCTTAAATTTGCTCTCACCCCAGTGCCTGTCTAGGAAAGGAAACCCAGATCCCTGCTGTGTGACCTTGGGCAAGTCACTTCCCTCTCTGACCAGACTGCTCACTTGGCTGCCCTGCTGGCTCCTCTGGGGCTGTCTGAGCAAGGGGTGTATTCTACCCCCAAGGGCTTGGCAGGTAGACTTAAATCCTAACCAGGACAAAGGGGCTGCTTCAGAGGGTCCAGATTAGAGCCACACTGGCCTCTGGGTGTGGTCACAGACCTTTGCTCTCCTTAGCCCCTGCTGTCTCTGAACTCCACCCATGGTGATACCCATGCCTGAGTGGCGGGAGGCCCCACACAGGCCTGGGCAGAGTACATGCACTTACTGACTCTCCTCAGGAGCAGGCTTGCCCAACTCATTAGGTGGGTCAAGGTCACCTGACTTCCCAGCTTACCTAGCTAAGGAGGGAGAAGTCTACTTTTGACCCCATCTGACCCCAAGCCTGTGCTCAGCCTCTCCTGGTGCTTGCTCTCTGCCACCTGGCTCTGCATGCCCAACCCAACCACATGACAACTTTTCTCTGTCTGGTACCCAAAGGTGTTATGCTGGTGTCCTTAGGTGGGGACACTTGCTACTTAGGGACCCTGGGGAGTGCAGTGAGCCTAGGACATCGTGAGAGAGAGTGAGAAAAGAGAAGGCAGGGTGTGACGTGATGGGAGCAGATGGCAGAGCCAGACCTAGGCCCACATTCTAGCAATTCCTGAGGGAAGGTATATGGATGGCTCTTGTAGCAGGCACATGGCTTTGGAGTTGGACAGACCTGGGTTCAAACCCAGGCTCTGCTTTTGTCTGTGTGACTCCAGGCCTGCCTTGTAACTTACCTCTCTGTATGGACTTGTCTGCCAAGACAGATTGCCAGTGCTGATCCACTTCAGGACTGAGAGAATGTGATTGGCTGGTCAGGATTCTCTCCTGCTCCCTGCCTTGCAGGGGGCAAGTGACCTTCTGATGGGGGGGGGGTTGGGAGTATGGGATGATCTGGAATCGTGGCTTGAGCAATTCCCTGTCTCCTGTCTTTGTATGGTGGGAGGGGGGGTGGAGTGAATCATTTGATCAAGACAAAGTCCGTGTTGCCCACCTGGCCTTGCTTATAACAGCTGTGCAAAGAGACTGGCGGTGCTGGAGGCTCAGTTAGAGCCAAGTGCTGGAACTTAGCTTGGTTTGTGTAGCGGGTCTCAGCTGGGCCTTTCTCTGATTATAAGATGGGGCTAGCCTTCAGAGAGTCTAGGATTCTTGGTCAGCTGAGACGTGGGTGAGGAATACTCAGGAGACACTCAGGAATGAGTAGGGGAGGTGTTTGTGTGGGGTGGAGGACTGAAGTGACAGGCTCCTGGAGGCAGTAAGCAGAACTCTTGCACCAGTCCGGGGAGACTTCCTGGAGGGGGCAGGAGTCAGAGAGCGGAGCTGACACCTGTCAGGCCAGCTGTGCTCAGCAGCAGTTAGAAGGCTCAGCCCTGCCAAAGCGAGCAGAGCAGCGAGCGTGACCTCACCACTAAGTGTTAAAACAGACCTCTCAAGTGGGTGGGGGTGTCTGGGGGACAGGGGAGGAAGGAAACAGGCTCAATGGCTTCAGAGGGTGTGTCCAGGAAGATGTTGAGATCGTGTTTGGGGAATAGACTGTGCATTTCCTGAGACCCTACTGTGTATCTCATCCTGAGAACTCCACAGAAGTTACTCCCAAGTCCTCGCCATAGCCCTCCATGCCATGATATCTGCCCATTTTACAGAGCAGGAAACTGAGGCTCTCAGCTAAGGTGGCACATATCCCTAGGTCACACGGTGAGCCTTCAAAGGTGCTGGGGATTCCAGCTGGCTCTTTGCCCAGTGCCCCAGTGCCCCAGTGCCCCTGCCCCACCCCTGCCTAGCCCTAACCATCAGGGAGGCCCTTTCCGGGCAGTGCAGCTAGAAGCCTCATTGTGGCCCTGTGGTGGTGGTAGTGGGTGGTGTCTGGGTAGAAAGGAGCAGATGGGCTGTGGTTTGGTTTCCCCAGCAGGTGTTTCCCAAGCTTGGCGGGAACGGGGAGGGGCAGCAGGGCCTCAGCTGCTTGTCCTTAAGACACCAGGGAAGGACTCATTGTGTCTCTGCAAAGAGAATGACAAGCTGTCCATTCAGGAGGCCCTGGACCCTCAAGCTGGAGGCCAAATGGGGAGAGGGAGTGTTTGCACTGTTTCCCAATGTGGGCACCTCCCTGGGGTGTGGCACTGAGCCAGGAAGTCCCCTGGGCCTGGGCGGATGCTGGTCCCACCCTGATAAGGGCCAGCTGTGGGGCTGTGATGGGCACCAGGTCTGTCTGAACCAGCTGCTTCTCAAGGGGGCAGGTCCCCAGCCTGATGTGGTTTAGGTCCCGCCCACTTCTTCTTCTTGGGGGGGGAGAGAAAGAGAGAGAGAGTTCCGTTGGGGCTGGGCCACAGAGGTAGGAATTTTATTTGCCCCTCAGAAAATATGGCACTCACTTCGCTGGGCATTGACATTTCCTCAAGAAGTTCAGTCAGTAACACTGTACCAAGGGCTGATGGCAAACACACAGGAGGTGGCTGCTGGTGGGCTCCTTGCCCTGGCTGCAGTTCAGGGAAAAGGCTAAGGAAAACCCAATTCTAACTCTTTCTCTTACCCTCTCTCTTGTCTGTCAAAGGCCAAGAGGAAGCTAGACCTGGAGGGCATTGGGAGGCCTTCGGTCCCTGAATTCCGGACTCCCAAGGGGACGTGTATCCGAGTGGATGGTTTGCCAAGCCCCAAAAGTAAGAGTTTCTGATGGGCACCTACAGCAGGGTGGCACGGGGTGGGAGGCAACAGCTCTACCCATCCCGTCACCAGCAGAGTCTGTTTCAGCCTTTTCCAAGGTTTCTGGTGTATTCTCGAACTTGATTCTGTCCAGTAGGTAGAGTATGTCCCTTTTATTGATGAGGCAACGTAGGAGAACTCAGGACTTAGCCAAGGTCACACAGCTAGTCAGCGGAATCAGGACTAATGCCTGGCACTGCTTCTTATACTTATACTAGGCACCTGCTGCCCAGAGCTAACCACCATCACTAGTGTTGATTTGGGAGCTTAGTATTTTTTTAAGTTTTCATGGTTGGGTTAATCTGACATTTTCTGAAAGAGCTCTGGGAGGATCATTGGCTCACCAGAGTCTCTCCCACCGGCAGACAGTGCTAACTGATTCAAAGGGAACTGGAGCTTGGAATAGTCTGGCCTGTGCACCCGAAGGTCTCGAGGCTGTCCCACTAGAGCCTCCCTAAAGCTAAGCCAGAAGGAATCCCTTCCACTGAGATTTTCAGTCAATATTCTGATTAAGCTGGGAATTAAAGCCAGCGTGTCCAGGAAATATATGAATTTCCACAGAGATCTAATGAGGGCACATGTCTAGTAGAATGCATGAAAGTCAGGAATTGGAGGGCCAGGTAAGGGCTCCACGTGACTTGACTGGTTCACCCTTTTCTGTGAACCCTTGTTATCTCATGTAAATTAGGCACAACTAGGTCACGATGAGGAGAACGTTCATTCAACTGATTGATTAGATGTTACCTAGAACCAAGGCAGAAGGATTCCAAAGCTCAGTAGGACTGCAGAGCATAATACATAATACTGATCGACTATTAATGTCTGCCACAGACACAAAACCGGACTAGGCAGTACGTGTGCCAAATGCTTGGCCTCTATGTGTTAAGGGATTCTCAAGTCCCCTTCCAGAGGCATCTGAGACTAAAATTTAGTTCCCATGATTAGTTTGGCCATCAACTTCTATGTGACTTAAAGTCATTTGATTGCAAAAGTTCCCTTGTGGTTTAATTCGAAGCAGCTGAGACGTGGTGTTGCAACATCAGCCTTATTGAGAAAGGGACCTTTTCCATGAACCCGGGCCATTTGATGTTTGATGTTAGACGATTCCCGTCAGATAATTATTGGGCTACACATGGAAAGGCAAGGCAAGTGTGGATCTATAAAAATGTTCTCAAATCCAGGCTTGTCTTTTCCTCCCGACCAGAATTCCTAATTCCGGGTATAATTGACAGGAGAGGATAATGGTTTAGGAAGCTGCCTACGTTTGAATCCTAGTTTGCCGCTTGCTTAATGAAACGAACAAATGACTTAGCCAATCTGCTTCAGCACAACGCTGTAGGGTATTGGCTTAAGCAAAGCGCCCAGAACAGTGACCCTCCTAACAGCATGCAGTTAGTTGTTGGAGCTGTTGCTATGTCTGCTCTGAGCTGTGATGGCAAGGTCCTCTGAACTCGGAGTCGCGACACTTGGCTTCCGGTCTCTGCAGCGCCCCCTCCTGGCGGTGAGACCTGGAGCAAGTCTTTCCCCGGGGTTTCGGGTTCCTGGTCTGTGCGGCCGTGGAGACCCCGCTGCCTGGGTGCTCTGCGCGCTGGACAGTTCTCGGCGAAGGGCGGTGGAAGGTGTTGCTTAATGGATCTGAACTCCTGGGGAGAACCCAGGCTGGCTCCCCCAGAGCAGTGTGTGAGCGGGGCCTCTTCCTCCTCAGCCCCCAAGTCTCCTGGGGAGAAGACACGCTATGACACGTCGCTGGGGCTGCTCACCAAGAAATTCATTTACCTCCTGAGTGAGTCGGAGGATGGGGTCCTGGACCTGAACTGGGCAGCCGAAGTGCTGGATGTGCAGAAGCGGCGCATCTATGACATCACCAACGTGCTGGAGGGCATCCAGCTCATCCGCAAGAAGTCCAAAAACAACATCCAGTGGGTGTGAGTGCCTGGGCCAGGCCATGGCACCAGCCAATGGGTGCATTGTTGGGGGCGGGGCGGGAACAGTAGCCAATAGGTGTGAGTTTTGGAGTTCCCTCCCCAGCAACAGGCAATCCACAGCAAGTACCGGGTGGTAGGCGGCCAAAGCCAACCAATAGGCCTATGGGGAGGGGCATAGCCAGTGTGTCTGAGTGGGATGGGACAGGTGTTAAATGCTGGAGTGATAGCAAGAGCAAAGGGACCGGGCAGAGCTGAGTAGTTTTAGGGGTTGTAAAGGCCCGAGAGGACCCCAGCTCCTTGTGTCCCGGTCCCCAGGAACCCTCCTCTTGGGAAAGCCCCTTGGGAGCTGCACAGGTGTGGGTCAGACTCCTCCCCACAGCTGCAAGGTCTGAAAGTACCCTGGCATGAACCCTAAAGGAAACCCAGGAGCGGAGCCAGGGCTAAAGTCAATAGTACCTTTCCGTCTGGTGGAGGCTGGGGCATAAGGATAGACCCAGGGGTTCAGGCTTCCAATGTCTCCCCTCCCCCCAAACTTCAGTGCTAGTCTACGACAGTTCCCAGGAGGTGGGCATCACCACCGATTTGCATGAAGTGCCCTGGAGACTCGCCCTGGCTTGGACTAGCTCTCGTGCAGGGCAGCCCTGATGATGGTAGGGACTGTGAATATGGACTGACCCTGACAATGGGGCTGCTCTGTTCCCAGAGGCAGGGGAATATTTGAAGACCCCACCCGACCTGCGAAGCAGCAGCAGCTGGGGCAGGAGCTGAAGGAGCTGATGAATGCAGAGCAGGCCTTGGACCAGCTCATTCAGAGTTGCTCGCAGAGCTTCAAGCACCTGACCGAGGATAATGCCAACAAGAAATATTCTTTCTGCGGCGAGATGGGCAGGGGGCTGGGCTGCTGGCTGCTGAAATCTTCACCCAGCTGATTTCTTACCTCCTTACTGGGACTAGCTCCCTCTAGGGGACTGTCATATCTGTTTCTCCCTCTCAAGCTTAGGGAAACTTGGGGTCCTTCCTTCCTTCCTCCCTTTCCTTCTTAAGATTATTTTATGTTTGAACGCTCCATCTGCATGTGCAAATTTATGCCAGGAGCAGACATCAGACCCCCCTGGAGATGGTTGTGAGCCACCCTGTGGTTGCTGGTGTACCGTGTTGTTAACGGCTAGCTAGAATGGATGTTTGCATCCAGTCTAGATTTCCCTTCTTAATTTACTGTTTAGTTTTTACTTACATGTATTTATTTGTGTGTTGGGGGCACATTGTGCTATGGCACATGTGTGGAGATGAGAGGGTAGCTACTTGGAGTCAGTTCTTCCCACCACCGAGGTCCCAAAGATCAAATTGTCAAACTTGGGGGCAAGCGTCTTCTCTCTGAGGCATCTTACCAGGCCAAGATTTTGTTTTGTATTTCTTCTCCTTTTATTTAGTCCTTGACAATTTCATGCATGTGTACATTGATCCTATCTCCTCCCAGTTTCCCTCTCTGACCCCGCCCCCCCAAACAGCCCCCTTCCACCTTCATATCCTGTCTTCTTTGTTTCTTTGTTTGTTTGTTGTAACCACTGAGTCTTCTTGGTGCTGCCTGTTGGAATGGTGACTGGGTTACCTGGCTTCGTGTAGTATTTCACTACACATTTCCTGCTTTCATTTTCTTTTATGCTGAATCATTTCTGTTGAGTCTGTACCATGTTTTTGGCATCCATTCATCTGTTGATGGGCATCTAGGCCCATCCAATTTCCTTGTGGTTGCAAACAGCCACATTAAACATGGGTATGCAATCTGTTTGCTTTCCTGTGGGAGGAAGGTGGCTTATGCTATTCTAAGAACAGGTTATGGTCATTTGAATTTTTTTTCTGAACTGTATCACGTGTGAGAATGTGATATTCGGGGGTTTATGAGAGGAGATAAAATCTTCCTGGCAGGCTGGGGGGGGGGGTTCGCATTTTGACAAGGCAGTCGCTTTTCTTAACTTTCCTGCCCCAACGTTGGCCTACGTGACCTACCAGGACATCCGTGCTGTGGGCAACTTCAAGGAGCAGACGGTGATCGCAGTCAAGGCCCCTCCACAGACAAGATTGGAAGTGCCAGACAGGGCGGAGGTGAGAAGGCAAACCCTGGGTAAAGAACAGGGTGGGAATGTCCTGGGTATCTCTGTAGAGTCTGCCTGGCCCTGACAGCCCCAGCTCCACTGGTCCATCTGGGGTCTGGGGCAAACTAGGAAGAAAAATGGAGACTAATCACTGGCCCAAGGGCTTCCCTGGTATTGCAGAGATTTTCTTCTTTGCATTCCTTTTGTGTGGGTTCCTCTGCTCGCACAATTGTGTCCCCACAGAAGCAAGCTTAGGACTCACAAGAATTCTTACTCACTGTCCATGCTTGCACAGGCTCAAGATGAAGACAGTTTTTCTTTAGTGCTGAGAGTGGAGCCCCGTGCCTTGCACGTGCTGGCACATTCTCCAAGACTGAGTTGTACCTGTGCCCTTGGCTTTTTGAGCTCTCTATGTGGGTCAGGTTGGCTTTTTTTAAGCACACTAAGCTACTATGTAGCCCAGCCTAGCCCCAAATTCCTGACCTTCCTGCCTCTGCCTCCTGAATGCTGGTATTAGAGGCAGACATCACCATTTCTATCATAAGATCAAATTAAAGAAAATAGTCCTAAAATTTTATTTATCGTGTGTGTGATCGTGTGTGTGTGTGTGTGTGTGTGTGTGTGTGTGTGTGTGTGTGTGTGTGTGTGTGTGTGCATGTGTAGATCTTAGAGACAACTGGTAGGAGTCAGTCTTCTCCTGTGTGTCATTAGGCTTGGAGCAGGGTTTTTTGTTTTTTGTTTTTTTCTGCTAATCAATCTCTCTATTCCAAGATCAAAATTCTTTTTGTTTTTGAGATTGATTTACATTTTTATTTTTATGTTTGGGTGTTTTGCCTGCATGTATTGTCTGTGTGCCATGCATGTGTAGTGTGTGGAGGCCAGAATAGGGTGTTGGATCTCCTCGGCGCTAGAGCTTTAGGCTGTTGTGAGCTGCCTGTGGGTGCTGGGAGTCAAACCTGGATGCTCTGGAAGAGCAGCCAGTGCTCTTTACCACTGAGTCCTCTCTCCAGCTCCAAACCAAAATCCTTAATACTGCTCATGAAGCCTTTGGTGCTCTGAGCCCAATGGACTCCACCCAGTTCCTCTCCCAAGCCTTCTCCATCACTCTGCCCTTTGCCACATCAGCCTGCAGTCTCGACTGCTCTCAGGCTGTCCTCGGTGCAGCCTTTGCACAGGCCGTCCCCTCTAGCTGGGATGCACTTCCCTCTCCCTGCCTGGTGGACTGCTAGCCACCCTCAGGTTTCAGCTTGACACTGAGTCACTTCCTTCCTCATCAGCCTCAGACTAGATCCAATTTCTTTTTTTTTAAGCACACTAAATCTCAGCTCTCTGGCCCATCTTTGACACAATTCTTTGCAAACTCACTATGTAAGGAAAGATGACCTTGGAATTCTGATCCTCTTGCCTCTACTTCCAGAACACTGGGATTATAGGCGTACGTGACACTAGTTTAGGTGGTGCCAGGATGGAACCTGGGCCTTCTACCTGCTAGGCAAGCATTCCCCCAGCCAAGCTTGATGCCAGCCTCCCACTCCCCACCCCCACCCCCCACCCCCGTTAGGGTTTTAATCTTTACAAAAGAAGGTATTGCTCAACTTCTGTCAGGGTGTGGCACATATTAAGGGATCCAGAAATGACATCTTAGAAGGAACCCATACCGCAGAGGTAATGAAAGCCCTAGTCCTCAGCTCAGGACCTGGTGGGTGTGAGGGAGACCCAGGCAATGGGTCTGTTACTTCCTGACTGAAAATGTGTTTAAAGGACAGAGGAAGCATCCTGGGGGTGACAGGTAAACTGTCACTACAGAATTCCTGCCAGGTGAAATGATGCGTGATGCATAGAGACCTGAACTTGGTGTGTGTGTGTGTGTGTGTGTGTGTGTGTGTGTGTGGTCAGTGGGATGAGTGTAGGGATACAGTGGAGGAACGGGTAGAGAAGCCAAGCCCAGCTTGTTTAAGCCTATGGAGAAGAGAAGACCAAGTGACAAGCCCTGGGTTTTGGAGATTGGAGTCAAAGTTTAATTTTGGGGCTCAGACAGGGTTCCCATCTGTCCAGTGCTCTCTCTCCTTGCCCACCTCTCTCTGCTGTTCTCAAGGGGGCTCCCCACCTGTGGTAGAGCACATGTGTCAACAGCTCAGCCAACCCGGTAGGAAGGGACCTCATGCTGGTTGGACATGTGACATGTGATACCCTGAGGAAGCCACATAACCCTGGATTCTTCTAGCTGCATCACAAATGGGACCATAGGAGTTGGAAGGCCACTTCCACAAACTTCAGGGCAGGGCCCGGGGCAGGCTTATTTCCCCAAGGGAAAACCAAGGTGTCCTCCCTCCAAGGGGACTTGCATATGGGACAGTGAAATGGTGATGTTCTCCCAGCTGGCAGTGTCAGGCTCAGGGACTGAGCTCGCACACATGGGTAGCACTACCTGTGTCCATTCATACCAGCTGACCCGAGAGTCTGTGCCCAGCATTGTGAGATGGTTTCTCTTCCTCCTCCAGGAGAACCTGCAGATTTATCTAAAGAGTACCCAAGGGCCTATTGAAGTCTACCTGTGCCCAGAGGAGGTACAGGAACCAGACAGTCCTTCCAAGGAGGCCCTCCCCTCTGCCTCTACCCTCAGCCCTGTCCCTGACCTCCCCGAGCCCAGCTGCAGCACCGATCCTGGGATCACAGAGACCACAGCATCTTCAGGTAGGCCCTCTGCTCCTTGGGAGAGGTGAGCAGAGCAGTGGCTCTAATTCTTCCCAGTCTGCATTTGTTGGATACCCAGCATTCACGGCAGATAAGCCTAGTGTCCCCGAGTGTGATAACAGTTCTTCATGCTTTGCAAAAGCTTGTGCCTCCCTGTCTCAGCAGGGGAGCCAGAGCTGCTCTGGGGCAGCTCAGCCATTCATTCCCTCAGCTGTGGGCCCTTCGACAGTTTGTGCTTCAGTTTCCTCATCGGTAGGTTGGACAAGAGTAGTTAATATTTAACTTTCTGGTTATTAAAAGGATTAGTGAACTAATGTGAGCCAGTGTTTGACCTGGCAATAGCTGTTACTGTCACTTTTACTGCCACAATTGCTATGAGGTTGGCTCACAGCCAAGCACGTGGCACTCAGTGAGCCACAGTGAGTGGTGGCGTGTGTGGTGAGGGAGTTGAACCTGGGACATTATGCTTCCTAAGTAAATACTACAACACCAAACTTCACCACCGAGCCACATCCTTAGCCTGAAGGTTTTTTCTTTCTTTTTTTTTCTTTCTTCCTTTCTTCTTCTTTTTAAAATATTTTTACTTTTTAATTAAAAAATTATCGTAAGGAATTTGTTAATAAAAAAATTACACACTGAAATTAAACAGATCCAAAGATGTATTTCTTCGGGAAATACATCTCAGTATACTGTGAGAATAGCCAAGGCTGCTGGCTGGTGGTGGCTCACACCTTTAATTCCAGCACTTGGGAGGCAGAGGCAGGCAGATATCTGAGTTCAAGGCCAGCTGGTCTACAGAGTGAGTTCCAAGACAGCCAGGGTTATTGTTACATAGAGAAACCCTGTCTTGAAAAAAAGACAAAAAACTGGGGAGGGGTGGGAGCCAAGGCCAAAGAGATGGCTGGGCAGCTAAGACAACAAAAGGGCCCAAGTTAAGTTCCCAGCACCCGAACGGTAGCTTACACCTGTCCATAATTGCAGTCCAGAGGAGCCAGTGCCTTTTTGGGCACACCCCAGCACCATGCAAACACTCTCTCTCTCTCTCTCTCTCTCTCTCTGTCTGTCTCACACACACACACACACACACACACACACACACACACACCACTCCCCATGTGATGCACTTACATCCATGCAGACAAAAATATTCATATACCTAACATAAATATAATTTTTTTAAAACAGCATTCTAAAGCTGAGGGGCTTCCCATTAGATTTCACGACTGAATTGCCGAATATGTTTATGTACTTAGCTACCACCGAAAACCCAGAGAACTGGAAACACGATTACCTTTCTAGCCTTGTTCAATACTTGTAGATCAGACTGGCCTGGAACTCACAGAGACTGATCAACCTGTCTGCCTCCTGAGTGCTGGGATTAAAGGTGTGGGCCACCACAGCCTGGTGTTAGGGTTTATTTTGTTTTGTTTTGTTCTACACCAGGACTCCATATTGGTCATTTACATTTCATAGCACATCTTGGAGGAAGTCTCACTATTCCTGGTTTAGTGCTAGAAAACCAAGGTGGAGAAATGATGAGTTTGGCCAAGGACAGACAGCTGGGAGCAGCACAGTAGTGTCTTGACCCTTGCTCCACAGGGGCCCAGTGCTGTGTCCTCAGGCACAGGATCAAGCAGGAAGGGCCCCTGGCTGGAGGGACCACACCTGGCTGCGGGGTTGGGGAGTGGGTGGTGGGTGCAGGAGTGGATGGAGCCAGAAGCCACCTCTGCAGAAAGGCCTTGCCTTCTACTAGGATTCTGCCCCAGGTCACATGAACAGGTTCTTCAGGGTCATATAGACCCGCATTCCACCTTTTTTTTTTTTTTTTTTTTTTGGATCAGGATTCCTTTAGTAGAACCTTAGTAGTTTTTTATTTAATTTTTGTCACATTTGCTTATTCATGGTGGTACATGTGCCTCCCACAACTTGCAGGAATTGTTTTTCTCCTTTCACCATGTGGGTCCTGGGATTGAACTCAGGTCACCAGACCCTACTGCAAGCGCCTTGTCTCAGTGAGCCATCTTGGAAGCCCAAGAACCTTAGTGTCTAAAGAAAGGCAGAACTGGGGTGGGTCTGGTGGGAAAGGCCTGGTGTGATGTTTCACAGGACATAGGTTGCTCCTGTGTCAACACAAAGGTTGACACATTCCAGCCTTGCTGGTCAAAACTGGCTTGTTTTCATATGGCCAACGAGCTAATGATGGCTTTGAACTCCGGTTTCTCTTTGTCTTTAGTGGTTATGCTAGGAACCAAGCTTTGCACACGTTAGGCAAGCACCTATCACAAGCTGCACCCTACCTTGTTTTTTACATTTTTCAAGAGTTGGGGAGGGGGCTAGAGAGATGGCTCAGCTTTTAGGAGCTTTTGCTGTTCTTGCAGAGGACCCGGGTTCCGTTCCCAGCACTCCATAACTCCAGTTCTAGGTGATCTGATGCCCTGTTCTGACTTCTGCTGGTCCTGCATGCACACAGTACCATACATATATGCAGGCAATGCTCATACACGTAAATGTAAAAAAAGGTTTAAAAAAGAGTTGGGTAGAGGGCAACTGCGTTACAGAGGACACGTGTGTCCCACAAAACCTAAAATACCGCCCAGCCCTTGACAGAAGTTTATTGACCTTGATTTCATTCTATATGATTAAATTAATGCCCAGAGAGAGCAAGTAGCTTCTTTGAGGTCTCACAGCAAGTTGATGGTAGAGCTGAGACAAGAGCCCAGACTCCTAAGTCTTCTCTGAGGATCCCTCCTGAATGTGTCACTCTGTGTGCCAGCCATCTGTCTGCTTGGGCACCTCCCCAGGCACTATCTTTTATTCCAGACCTGTGCCCCACCCTGTTGTTCCTCTTGTTACTCTGCCCTCTTCACTTAGCTGTCAACATGTACATGGCTCTCCCAAGTTAGAACCACTTGCATATTACTTGCCCTTCCGTGGACCACCACTTTCTAGAGTAGGATCCGGAGCCCAGAGGCTGGGGTGGAGCTCAGGGGTAGAGTACTGGCCTAGCCACTGAGGCCCTGGGTCCTGTCCCCAACACCCAGGGCAGGCAAGGTTGGAGCCAGTTTGCTTGCTACTTTATGCCTGCTATAGGAAGGAGAGGAAGTTGTCCTGAAGATGTACACTCACACACTTACATGCACACTCACTCACAAAGGTGCAGACTTGGGAGCTGGAGAGATGGCTCAGCGGTTAAGAGCACCGACTGGCTGCTCTTCCAGAGGTCCTGAGTTCAATTCCCAGCAACCACATGTTAGCTCACAACCATCAGTTATGAGATCTGGTGCCTTCTTCTGATGTGCAGATATACATGGAAGCAGAATGTTGTATACATAATAAATAAATAGATAAAATCTTTAAAAAAAGATGCAAACATGGGCTCCATGTTCCATCTTTGTTCTTTTTGAAGATTTTTTATTTTTATTTTATTGTGTGTTTACCTCTAAGCAATATAAATATATATATATCACATATGTGCATATAGGCAGCTGTGAGCCCCTCTTGTAGATGCTGGAAACCAAACTTGGGTCCTCTTCAAGGGCAGCAAGTGCTCTTAACCTCTGAGCCATCCCTCTAGCCCCAAAATAGTCATTTTTGAGATGTGAATACAAGAGGCCAGGCCCAGAGTGGAGGGTAAAACAGTCTTGGGATTTAAGGTTCTGGCATCTCCAGAGGAATTACTAACCCATTGTAACCTCATTTTCCTCTTGATAGAAGGGGCTCAAATAAGAGTTGCTTCCACATGCTGTCCAGGTTCTGGCATTCTAAGATACAGGATCTGAAACAGGGGGCTTGGGTTGGAACCCATTGTTTCCAGGTTTGGGAGACCAAGTGAGGCAGGAGGAGTGTTTGAAGCCAGAAATTCAGGGCCAATCTTGGCAACATAGTAACACCCAGGCTCAAGAGATGTCTAAACAAATATTCACCTGGCCTAGTGGCAGAAGCCTGTAATCCCCATCTCTTGGGAGGCTGAGACAGGAGGGTCACAAGAGGGAGGCTTGCCTGGACTATAGTGGGTTCAACGACAGCCCAGGTAACTTATTCAGACTCTGTCTCAAAATAACAAGTGTAGAGAAGGTTAAGAAGGCTCAGTGGTAGAGTGTTTGCCTAGCATGTGCACAGGCCTTGCTTCTATTCCTGGTACAGAGAGAGAGAGAGAGAGGGAGGGAGGGAGGGAGGGAGGAAGGAAGGAAGGAAGGAAGGAAGAAAAAAGAAAGATTCTCACAAAATATTGCAGGGCCAGTTCCCAGGGGACAACATCACCAGAGTGTGGTTTTCATAAACAGCTAATATGAACTGAGTACCCCACCTGTGCAGTGTCTAGTGGAGTTTGGAGCTATTCAGAGTGGGTGGAGCAATGGGTGTTACAAAGGACAGCGCCAGCCTGGCTGTGACCGGCAGCAGGAAGGAGAGCAAGTTCACCCTACCCCATGACTTCCACAGGCCTTCCTTCAGTTTCCACTCCCCAAAATTCTGAGTAGTTTCTACTTTAGCCTCCTGGGAAAGCTGGGGCACCCAGTCCACAGCTGATAAGAAGCAGGGCTGGGGTTTACGGCCAAATTCTTCTTCCCATTGCCAGACCCCTTGCTGTAATCTCAGCAGTGTGTTGAGATTGCAGTGTGCTGGGGATCGAACCTGGGGCCTATGCACACTAGGCAAATACTCTATTGCTGAGTTATGCCTCCAGCCCCAAGCTTTAGTGATGGTGGCAGTTGTAACTGATGTGGTGTGTGTGTGTGTGTTAGTTACATGTACGTGTTTGTGTAACTATGCATATACATGCAGAGGCTAGAGCAGGACATCACATCAAGTGTCTTTCTTTGTCATCCTCTGAGGTTTTTTTTTTGGTTTTTCGAGACAGGGTTTCTCTGTGTAGCTTTGGAGCCTATCTTGGCACTCGCTCTGGAGACCAGGCTGGCCTCAAACTCACAGAGACCCCCTGCCTCTGCCTCCCAAGTGCTGGGATTAAAGGCGTGCGGCACCGCCGCCGCCACCACCACCACCACCACCCAGCAATCCTCTGAGTTGTTGCCTTGAGACTAAGTCACTGGATATGAAGCTTGTTATTATTTGGCTAGACTGGCTGGCCTATAAGCTCTCAGGATCCACCAGAATCTGTCTTCCAGTTCTAGGGTTATAGGCACTTGTAGCCATGCCAACCTCTATGTGGGTGCTCGGGATTCAAACTGGTCCTCCTACTTGACGTCCAAGCCGTCTTAGCCACTAAGCTGCCTCCCCAGCCCTTGTTTATCGCTTTGTTTCAGGAACCCACGCTAGTCTCAAACTTATGATGCTTCTGCCCTCCCAAAGGCCAGAGTTAGATGTATAAGCCACCATACTTGGCATGAAACTTTTGTTCTAGGTGTTTCTGTAAGAATTTAATAGATTGTTGGGGGTGGAGAGATGACTCAGTGGTTAAGAGCACTGACTGCAGCCGGGCAGTGGAAGGACAGGCCTTTAGTCCTAGCGTTTGGGGGCCAGAGGCAGGGGGATCTCTATGAGTTCGAGGACAGCCTGGTTTACAGAGTGAGATCTAGGACAGCCAAGGTCCTGTCTCGAAAAGCCAAAAAAACAAAACAAAACCAAAAAACCACCACTGCTCTTCCGGAGGACCCAGGTTCAATTCCCCCCCTCACATGGCGGCTCAGAACTGTCTGTAACTCCAGTTCCAGGGGACCCTGCACTCATGGCAAAACACCAATGCACATAAAATAAAAAGAAATAGATTTTAAAAAGGATTTAATAGATTGAGATTTTTGCATTTGGTTTTTAGTCCACTTTGAACTAATTTTTGGAAATGATATAAGGGTCTAGCTTCATTTGTCTGCACATAGACATCCCTGTCTCCCAGAACCATTTGTCGAAAGAACTGTTCCTTGGGGATGGGAGAAGCAATGCTTAAAAAAAAATATTTTATTTTTCATTACTTATTTGTGTGTGTGGATGTGCATATGAATACGAGTGCTCACAGGCCAGATGAGGGCATCGGATCCTCTGGATCTGGAGCCACCAGGTGTAGACACTGGGAACCAAACTCAGGTCCTCTGCAAGAACAGCACACTGAGCCACCTCTTCAGCCCCGAAGGATGGTTTATTTATTAATTATTTATTAAGCAGTGCCTGCATGTATGCCTATACTCCAGAAGAGGGCACTCACTCATTACAGATGGTCTGAGCCACCATGTGGTTGATGGGAATTGAACTCAGAACCTCAGGAAGAACAGCCAGTGCTCTTAGCCTCAGAGCCATCTCTCCAGCCCGGGAGGATGCTTTTTAAAGATACTCATTATTGAGGTGTCGTGTGCTGTGATGATGTGGGAGAGTTGGGGAAGCTGGAGATGCCGGAACGAGCAAATGGCTTCAGGGGCAGCCCTGTAGTGTAGCAGGGTGGGGTGGGGTGGGGTGGGTACAGAAGCCTGGGGTAGGTTTGGGGAGCAGGCCGCTGCACCCAGTGGAGGGGAGGAGAGAGTAGAAAATGAGGTTTCTGTGACTGGTGCCTGAAGAGATTAGGGTGTCACCATGCCATTGAGTGGAAGAGATGGAGGAGGGCCGGCCAGCCAGAGAAGACCGGAAGACCACCCGTGTGCTCAGGGCCAATCATGACTCTAGTCTATTTGTCTCCAAACCCAGTGCTGATGCCCCAGCCGGTCCCGCCAGCACCAGCACCATCCCTTGTCCCCTTGGAAACCACTGACAACATGCTGGAGCTGTCACACCCACTTCTGCAACAGACTGAGGACCAGTTCCTGTCCCCAGTCCTGGCCGCCAGCTCCCCTCTGATCAGCTTCTCCCCGCCCCTGGACCAGGACGAATACCTGTGGGGCATGGATGAGGGTGAGGGCATCAGTGACCTCTTCGACTCCTATGACCTTGGGGACCTGTTGATTAATTGAAGAGTTCTGCCTCTGTCTCTACCTCCTCACAGACAGATTGACAGACTCTCTGCCCAGATGGGGGACACTGGACACTAGGTGTCACCCCCTGTGTACGAGCGGCTCCGTTCCAGCCTTCCTTCCAGTGGAGGGCAGCTAGGGAGATGTGGAGAACATGAGTGAGGAGTGTGTCAGGGGCTGGGCCCTGATCCTCCTCTTCTGACCTCTGACCCCTTCATGAAGGACAACAGGTGCAGGTGACCATGTTCAGGGAAAGGGTCTGCTGCCTCCTGAGGGGCAGTTGGACCCTGGCTTTTTCTAGAAGCACTTAATGCCTTTGTATTTATTTCAGGTTTGTTTGTTTGTCCACCCTGAGTTTTAGCAGGGAGATTTGTTGTAGTTTCTCCTCAGACAGGCCCTCCCATGCCCACTGTCTTAAGGGAACACCTGGGCTTCCAGGAGCCAGGGCCAACTTCTTGGTCCTCCTACTACAGTGGTACTTGGGTCTTGAGGAGGGTATCCAGTTTGCTTGAATGTTAATTGCACTTAGGCCTTGTAATTCTAGTTAAGTGCAGGGCCCAGCCAAGGTATCAGCTTCTCTCCCACCCCAGAGAAGGTTCCAGTAGCTATCTTGGGAGAGATAGCATTGAGCTCCCCACAGCCAAGTAGGTAGCCAAGAAAGTTCCCTTCTGGCTGGGTCCCTTGTCTCTCCTGAACTTCAGAAAGTAAATATAGGCCTTCAGGAATTAAGCCAGAAGAGCCCCTGGAAAAAGCAGGAGGCATGTGTCATGGCTACCTGAGGTTACCTTCCTCAGAGCCTCTGCCTTGGCCTGGTCAGAGACCTGGGAGGTGGAGGCAGAGACTGTGTAAGAAGAAACACCCCAAGGGCTACCCATGCTTCCCTCGGAGGGTTGTTTTGTTTCTTGGTTGTGGTTGTTGGAGGGGGAGATTCCTTAGGGACCAGCCTTCCCAAGCCCTCACTCCACTTCCAAGGTCCGAAGCTTGAGGGCAGGTTTGTACCTTTCCCCCGCTGGAATGCTGAGGGGGTGATGGGGTTTGGGGGGGGTGGAGTGGTCTTCACTGCAGACTAGGTCTTAGCAGCTCATGAGGAGATGGTGTGGGGATCTGGGAAGAGCCTTGGGTTTATTTCCCCATGGGCTGACCCTCCAGGATCCCTGTGGTCCAGATGGGGACAGGAGTCTGCTAGCATGCTCTGGGCTGAACCAAGGCCAAGGGAGGGAGGTCTTACCCACCTTCAGGGAGCTCAGGTTTCTCAGGGGCTCAGCAGGGCAGCACTTTTTTTTTTTTTTTTGTATGTTTGTAGCATTAAATTGATTTAAATGATAAAAAGTTGGTTATGCCAGGTGGCTCCTAACTGACTGGCATTTGAAGTTTAAATGTTGGGCTAATGTGAACTGATGCCCATTTGGGGATAATTTGTGTTATCCTTAATTCAACTTCTTGGGCTCCCAAATTAGGCCCCTCTGAGGAGTGGTCAGTGTCTCACACCTGCCACACTTGGAATTTGTATACTTTTACATCGCGCGTCTAACTTTTTGACATTGCGATGTGACCTTGTCGTCTATAAAGTCCACACTCAAGAACTGCACAGTTAAGTTACCAAAAAGAAAAAGAAATCTCCTAATGTTTTAAGGACGTTTACAATCTTGTGTTGGTTGAGCTGTGTCCATAGCTATCTGTGGCCCGTGCTGTAGTTGGACCACATGGAAGCCCACTGTGCCCTAGAGCCACAGGTGACCCTTGAGTGATGGGGATGCTACCTGGACTCTAGTTTGATGCTCTGCATCTGGAGGCAGCATTGTTGTTCTCAGGTCTCTGCCATTTAGTCATATGCCAACTCCAAGGAGGGAGATGCCTGACCTCTGAGCCTTGGCCACTGGATGGAGAGCTAAGGTTCTGGAGAAGAGGGCTGTACTTCCTGTCTGGAGTGAGGTTCATAATGCAGTCCAGAATTCAAGTTCAGTCGCCAAAGGCCCAGCCCAGGGATGGACAGAGGCCTTCCCAGCAGCTGCCTCGTGCTCTCCTGGCTGTCTCTTTTCAACCCTTAGTCAAGGGGCTGGACCTCCCAGGAGAAGCCCCAGGCTAGCGTGGGGAACAAGCTCAAGCCTCTTTCTTGCCAAATGATACTTGAGACCTCCAAGTTCCTTCAAGTGCTTTAAAAGAATGGGGTGTGCCCCATTTGGAACAGTTTTGAGTGCTATTTCTTTTAGGCCCCATGGGACCATTCATGCCCAGTCTCTTTCCTAGGTTTCCCAGCCCCACCAGCAAGCCCCCAAGTCATTTGTGTCTCTAGGGGACCCCAGAGCACTTAGCAGAATTAAACTTGTAAATAGGGTTGGAAATGCACCAGTGAAGGTGTCAGGGTGAGTCAGTCCCTCCTCTGGGGTGACGGGGCCAGCTGGTGTGTCCATGAGGAGTGAGTTTGTGAGCTTTGAGGGGGCGTGACTTGGTTTCCCCTCCCTGCTTGTTCTCAGCCCAGGGTAGTGTTGTAGAGAGTTTGCTTACGCTAGCCGGCATCAGATGTTGCGTAGCGCTAGCACATCTGAAGCTTTTGGGGTTGATTAGAATCAGTTTCTTGGTTTCTGTCATTGTGCCCAGAGGCACCACCTCACCTACGTGCCCTATTCTCCCACAAGGCCCATTAGGGACCATAGTGACCACAAGTCTGGCCAGCCTCTGGCTACTGGGAGAGATGAAGTCTTGTGAGTGTTGTTTGTTTTGAGGGTGCCCGGGAGTGGGGGTCTGGGGTCCCTGAGCTGGGGACTCCGTGTGGGTCACCTACCTCCTGGTTTCACCCAAAGTCCTGCCTTGAATGCCAGCGAGTTTCCTTCTGTTGTGATAATTGGGCATTAAACAGTGGCAGCTGGAAAGCTCTGTCTCAATGTCATTTCTTTCTGCAGCCCTGGGGATCCCACCCAGGACCTCATACATGTTAAACACACCCAACCATTGAACTACCTGGGAATGTCTAGGACCTCATACGTGTTAAACACATGCCTAACCACTGAACTACCTGGGGTTCCCACCTAACCTCATATATGTTAAGCACATACCCAGCCATTGAACTATACCTCAGCCCTGTTGTGCATTCTGAATGAAACTTATTACTGAGGGTCTGGTTCCTTGGCTGGGGGTGAGGACCATATTTGCCCAGCTGATGTGCCCCATCCCAAATGTCCTCCTTACCCTGTATTGCTGTTCCCATGCTCGGGAGTTAGCAGAGCCAACCTCTGCAGTGTGACCCCGCCTGCCTCCCCTATTCCGCTCAGGGTGAGCTGTTGTCCCTCAAATAGTCTCCCTGATTCTAACCTCACCTGTCACATCCTCTAAATCTCAGAGCACGGTCCCCTCATCAGCAGCTTCAGCATCACACATGGGTGCAGGCACACAGAGGCCAAAGACAATTTCAGGTGTCTTATTCCCTGCAGACAGTCTTGCTGAGCTAGAGCTGCCTATTTTACAGCTAAGTTGACTGCCCAAGCACTGGGTTACAGGTGCTCACTGCCATGCTGGTTTTTTTTTTTTTTTTTTTTTTTTTGTGGACTTATTGTCTTAGAGTTTCTCTTGCTGTGATGAGACACCATGACCACAGCAACTCTTATAGGGAAAAACATTTTGGGGAGGGGCTGGCTGATGGTTTCAGAGGTGTAATCCATTATCATCATGGTGGGAAGCATGGCGGCATGCAGGCAACAGGAAGAGAGAGTGACACTGGTCCTGGCTTGAGCATCTGAAACCTCAAAGCCCACCCCCCAGTGACACACTTCCTCCAATAAGGCCACACCTACTCTAATAGGGCCACACCTCCTAATAGTGCCCCTTCTTATGGGGCCATTTTTAATCACACCACCACACTTAGGTACTTTGCTTGCTCCTAAAGCACTCTTTACCCACTGAACCATATCCCAGGACATCATCAAAGTCAGGTGTGGCAGTGTGTACCTGAACCCAGCATCTGGGAGACAGGAGTTCAAGGCCAGCCTCAACTACCTGAATTACAAGAGATACCTTGAAAAAATTAAACCAAAATTAAACAAACAAACTAGGACATCATCAATAAGTCAAAAGACTTTCTGCCTGCCTCTGCCTCCTGAGTGCTGGGATTAAAGGCATGCGCCACCAACGCCCAGCGAAATGACATCTTTTTGTTTGTTTCTGTATTTTTTTTTCTCAAGGCAGGGTTTGTCTGTGTAGCTTTGGCTGTCCAGGAACTCATTCTGTAGTCATGAGGCTGGCCTTGAAGATACACCTACCTCTGCCTACCCGGAGCTGGGATTAAAGTCATATGCCCCTACCCAGCAGTGAAAAGACACCTTATAAAATGGGAGAAACTATTTGCAAATTATATACCTAGGGATTTGTACTCAGAAAAGAAAATGAACTCAGAGCTGGAGAGATGGCTCAGGGGTTAAAAGTCCTGGCTGCTCTTGCAGAGGATCCAGGTTCAATTCCCAGCACCTATATGACCCTATTCTGACCTCCTGGACACCTGATGCCCATACATGCAGGCAAAACACTTATACACATAGAATAATCTTTTCTAAAAACATTTTTTATGTGTATAGGTATTTTTTTTAAAGATTTTATTTATTTATACAACATTCTGCTTCCATATATATCTGCACACCAAAAGAGGGCACCAGATCTCATAACGGATGGTTGTGAGCCACCACATGGTTGCTGAGAATTGAACTCAGGACCTCTGGAAGAGCAGCTGGTGCTCTTAACCTCTGAGCCATCTCTCCAGCCCATGTATGGGTATTTTGCCTGCATGGATGTCTGTGTACTATGTGCAGACAGGACACACTGAGGTCATTGGATCTCCTGTAACTGGAGTTACAGTCAGTTATGAGCTGCCATATTGGTGCTGAGAATTGAACCTGGGTCCTCTGGAAGAGCAACCAGTACTCTTAACTGCTGAGCCATCTCATTTACTTATTTATTTATTTATTTATTATGCATACAACATTCTGCTTCCATATATATCTTCACACCAGAAGAGGGCACCAGATCTCACTACAGATGGTTGTGAGCCACCATGTGGGTGCTGGGAATTGAACTCAGGACCTCTGGAAGAGCAGTCGGTGCTCTTAACCTCTGAGCCATCTCTCCCCACATAATCTTAAGAAAATGAATTTATAGATCTTTAATAAAAAGCTAACCCAGAGCCAGTCATGGCAGTGCACACCTTTAATCCCATCACTTGGGAAGCAGAGGCAGGCAGGCCTCTGTGAATGAGTTTGAGGCTAGCCTGATCTACCTGGGGAATTCCAGGCCAGCAAAGCTACACAGTGAGACTGTCTCAAAAACAATCACAAATAAAATAAAAACAAAGAGTCTGAATATAAATAGTTTTCAAGGAAGGTATAGACTTTATTGTTTGTTTTTCAAGACAGGGTTTCTCTGTGTAATCCTAGAGCATCCCTCTGTGGACAAGCCTGGCCTCGAACCCAGAGATCCATCCCCCTCTGTCTCCCAAGTGCTGGGATCAAAGGCATGAGTCACCACTGTCTGGTGGTATAGATTTTTTTAAAAGGCCAATTGTAAATAAAAGATGTTTAATGTCATTAGCCACTAGGAAAATGCAAATTAGATCTATATTATATCCCATCACTGCCACTTACAAAACAAAGATAACCCCACATAATAAAGAGCATGTGCTGTGAAGGGCATGGAGCAATTGGGGGTCTCTGTGCTACCAGTGGGTTATGAAATATTGCAGCAGCCACTGTAGGAAAAAGATAGTTCCTCAACAGTTAAACACAAAATCGCTGTGCAGTCTAGTAACTGGATAGTGACCCAAGACAATAAGGAAGTGTGATTACACAAAAATGTACATGAATGTTTATAGTATTATTAGTTGTGACAATTAAAAATGGAACAGCTCGATGATTACAGCTGGTCAACAGATTTATGCCCACATAGCCAAAAAGAAGCCAGACACAAGTTATATAATGTCATTTACATAAAATATCCACAAACAGGGGCTGGAGAGATGGCTCAGAGGTTAAGAGCACTGGCTGCTCTTCCAGAGGTCATGAGTTCAATTCCCAGCACCCACATAGTGGCTCACAACCATCTGTAGTGAGATCTGGTGCCCTCTTCTGGCCTGCAGGGATACATGAGGAGGAACGATATATACATAATAAATGAATTTTAAAAAAGAAAGGAAAAAAATATCCACAAAGGGCAAGTCTATAGCGACAGGAAGCAGATTGGTGGTTAAGTTCTGGAAGAGGGAGACAGAACTCATGGATATAGGGTTAGGGTAATAAAGGTACCCTGGATCAGCGGATGTGGTTTTCTAACTCTGTGACGGTTTTGCCAGCTCAACACTAGCTAGAATCACTTAAGATGAGTCTCTTTCTCCTCTCCCTTCCCACTTCGATAGGGTTTCTCTGTGTAGCTCTGGCCATCTTGAAACTTGTTCTGTAGACCAGGCTGGCCTCGAACTCAGAAATTCACCCACCGGCCTCTGCCTCCAGAGTGCTGGGATTAAAGGTGTGTGCCACCACCTCCCAGCTCATGCCTAGTACCTTGAAAACACCCAAACTGCATGCCTTAAGTAGGTGTCAAAGGTGTACAGCCCATCTAGGACCACACAAAAAAAAATTATAGATCAATTCTCTTAAGCATCAAGACAAAATCATAAATAAAGATTAGCCAACTAAATATAGCCTGTCAAAATAAGAAAAAGAAGTGACAGCCATATAGAACTGAGATAGGGATGCAAAGAGTCCATCAGCATGTTTACTAAAAGCTCCAAGCCTTTTTTTTTGTTTGTTTGTTTTTTGGGTTTTTTTTTTTTTGGTTTTTTGAGCCAGGGTTTTTGTGGGTAGCTTTGGAGCCTATCCTGGCACTATCTCTGGAGACCAGGCTGGCCTCGAACTCACAGAGATCTGCCTGCCTCTACCTCCCGAGTGCTGGGATTAAAGGTATGTGCCACCAGCGCCTGGCTACTCTAAGCCTTTCTTATGGGATAAAAGAATGAGTGTATGAATTAATGAATTGGGCTGGCGTATAGCTCGGTAGTAGGGCCTGTGCCAGTATAGGACCCTGGGTTCCTCTGCCTGTATCTTCCCCCATGACAAAGGAAGCAACAACAAAAAAAGTCAGCTTTCCCAATGCCTGTGAAATTAGTCCCTTTGCTCTTTTGAGCAAGGGTCATTCATTTATGGGACATTTATGGATGGAGCATCAATGCCATGCCAGGGTGGGGTCAGAAGTCTCCTTCCTGGTCCATGCTGTGCACCTGCTTTCAGATTCTGCTTCCTTTTTGCAGGGGTGGCCACAGCCCTGTAGGTGTGCCAGCAGTGGAACACTTAGGTTCCTGGAGCTCTGGGTGGAATCAAGGCTGTAAGACCACAGAGGAGAGGGTATATTAGGGCTCGACAAGAGGACGTTTTGTTGTCTATCTATTCAGATGGCTAGTAATACAAAATGAAAATGTAAGACACTTAGAAACAGCAAAAAACAAGACACCAGGCTGAATGAAGTGGTGCACACCTATAATCCCAGGCTTTGGAAAGGGGACAGGAGGGTCAGGAGTTCAAGCCCGGCAGCCAGTCTCAAACAAGAACTGGAAAGGATGGATCATCACTCCTTTATCCCACCGACTAGTTTTGTTTTGTTTGAGACAAGGTTTCTCTGTGTAGCTTTGGCTGTCCCATACTGGCTCTGTGGGCCAGGCTGGCCTGAAACTCACTGAGATCCACCTGCCTCTGCCTCCCAAATGCTGGGATTAAAGGGGTGCACCACCACTGCCAGGCAACTTTTTTTCTTAATTTTCAGAATACGGGCTCAAATCCAAGGTCTCACACACACTAATCAAGCATTTGAGCCTGACCTACCGTCCCAGATACACATCCCA